CCACATGCCGCGGAGCGGCTGGGCCCGTGAGCCGTGGCCGCTGAGCCTGCGCGTCCGGAGCCTGTGCTCCGCAAATGGGAGAGGCCACAACAGTGAGAGGCCCGCATAACGCAAGAAAAAAAAAAAAAAGAGGGTCATCTTAGCTGATCGTGGTGACAGTGTCCTCTGCCGCAAATTCTGGAAGGCACGAGCCGTGCAAAGAGGGTGCCAGCGAGAGGCCCCGAGGCTCCAGCTCTGGTCTGGACACGCTGCTGCACGACCAGCCATCGGCCGTCAAGCAGGGACACCTGTTTCCACAGGAGTCAAGCCTGTGCTGTCTCACTGGACTCGGCAGCAGCGCCATCACCCCCAGGAAGTGATGCAAGCTTGGGGCTTTAGCTTGAACTGGGGGAACTAGAGCAAGGAGAAGAGATGGAGCTCTTAGGGCAGCTCAGCTGTCCCCTTCAGTGCCTGTACGAGCTGGCTATCACAGCTAAGCATCTGGCCCGCCCTTTCGACACCTCCCTCCAGCTCCTGTCATAATGACGGAAACGATGCGAGCACGGACCCCGCATGTCCCTGCCTGAGCCGAAATGACTCGCCTAACATCAGCAGTGCAGCTCTTCCCCTGGTGAGAACCCCCTGGAAAGCTACTCAGAAGCCACCGTAGCACAGTTTGCCCCATGACCCTGCTGAGCCCCGGGGAACGGGCCCAGGGACGCAGCTGGAGGAGGGACGCGGCGACAGCAGGCCCGACGGGGAGGCGTGTCTTACCTCATCATACATGAACTGCAAGGTCAGGGCCGACTTGCCCACCCCTCCGCTGCCAACCATGATCACCTTGTGAAGGGCCAGGGAGCTCTGGCTCTTGCTCTTGTTTGCGGCCATCCTGCTGGGTTTCTGCGAAACGCGGCCAGAGGACCCAGACGAAGAGCTGCCAAGGAAGAAGACAGACTCAGAGGCGGTTTGGTTCCACCCAAAGGAAATGACATGACAACCCTCCAGAAAAGCCTAACCCAGACGTTCCACCAGAGAGGTCATTCTCCTAGGCTCGAGGCAGAGATAAAGCTCCCCAAGCACTGCCGAGTCACAAACCAGAGCTGAGCCGACCCGAGGGAAGGTGAGACGGAGAGAAAAATCGGGCATGTGCACCCGACGCCCCATCACTGGGGGTGGGGGAGGATGGCCCACCAAGCAAACCCGCACGCCCTCAACAGAGCCGCAGGGGGCGGCGAGCCACGCAGCGACCCCCGCACCAGCTGTGCCACGGGGGCCGCTCAGGGCCCCAGCATCTCTGTACCCTCGCTCCCTCCCCACCCCTCCAACACACCCACACGGCCCTCCCAGCGGACCAAGGGGGGCTCTGAAAAGGGGTGAGCAGACCTGCTTTTAATAATCAGTATCCCTTCACGACACAGGACAGTTAAAAGGAAGACAACTAAATTATTTATTCCATGTTGATTTACATTAAGAACTAAATGAGTCAGACTTTTCCAAAACAACAATCCATTAGTCAAAATCAGTTTAGCCTCATCAGAAGTGAGATAAAGTGAGTAGAACAGAGCAACCTTGGTGGTGGGGGAAGAGAAAGTATTCTCAATAAGCACATTTAACAGGTACCTGAAACTTGGCATCTAATTAACCTGACAAGCTTTTGCACAGCAAAGGAAACCATAAACAAAACAGGAAGACAGAATTTTCTCCCTTACAGAATGGGAGAAAATATTTGAAAATTGATGCAACCGACAAGGGATTAATTTCCAAAATTTACAAACAGCTCATACAACTCAAGATCAAAAAAAAAAAACAACCGACCCAACCAAAAAATGGGCAGAAGACCTAACTAGACCTTTCTCCAAAGAAGACATACAGATGGCCAACAAACACATGAAAAAATGCTCAACATCACTAATTATTAGAGAAATGCAAATCAAAACTACAACGAGGTATCACCTCACACGATTCAGAAACGGCCATCAAAAATTCTACAAACAATAAATGCTGCAGAGGGTGTGGAGAAAAGGGAACCCTCCTACACTGTTGGTGGGAATGTTAAGTTGTGGCAGCCACTATGGAGAACAGTATGGAGGTTCCTTAAAAAACTGAAAATAGAGCTACCATATGCTCCTGCATAACCCAAGTGCCAATTTTTATTTTAAACGATTTTTATGGAAAATCTCTCTCACAGATGCCGCAGCGTAAGGAAAAAGGGCATGGGCTCGGGCATGTCACAGGCCCAAGTCTGGCTCTGCCATTCGTGAGATGTGGGACCTGGACACTAGTTATTCAGTTTCTCTAAGCCAGTTTTCTTATTTGCAGACACAAGTAAACCACCACCCACCCTGCAGGATAACACATGTGAAAGACTGAAGCCCTGTGCCTAGCATATAACAGGAACTTAAAAAGGCTGGTTTCCTTCCTATCTCATTTTTAGAGAATTTTTTTTCTCATTAGACACGATGGGCACCTATTTCTGACAAAGTAACTTGAAAATACCGCCAGTAGAAAAAAATAAATACACACACACCATTGCATAACAGAGACAACAACATTTTAAATCAGTGGTCCCATCCTTGGTGCCACAAGGAGATCCCTGGGCAGCTTTAAAAACATCCCCAGAGATTCTGATGGAGTTTGGTCTGGGATGCCTGCGGAGCCTGGGCATGAGAACATCTAAAAGCTTCCCAGGTGATGACAGTAGACCTCCAAGGTTGAGAACTTCTATGAAATGCACAGCTGGGCTCAAAAAAAATCCCAATGCTGGGGAGAAAAATAATCAGAGCTGATATTTCTGTGGTCCTAGGTGGTTGCTGCTCTGGGTAACTTAGGATTTAACACACACACAAGTCAGTCCCTCAGAGACACCAAGAGCCTCGAAGGAATGCACCTTCAGGTAAACAATGGACGAGCAGGACTTCCCTGGTGGCGCAGTGGTTAAGAACCCGCCTGCCAACGCAGGGGACACGGGTTCGAGCCCTGGTCCGGGAGGATTCCACATGCTGCAGAGCAATGAAGCCTGTGTGCCACAACTACTGAGCCTGCGCTCTAGAGCCCGTGAGCCACAACTACTGAAGCCTGCGTGCCACAACTACTGAAGCCCGTGTGCCACAACTACTGAAGCCCACGAGCCACAACTACTGAGCCCGTGCTCCGCAACGAGAAGCCACCGCAACGAGAAGCCCGCGCCCAGCAACGAAGAAGACCCAACGCAGCCAAAAATTAAATAAATAAATAAATATATTTATTAAAAAAACAAAAAAAAAAAAAAAAAAAAAGAACAGACGAGCAAAACATCGGTCCACTGTCGGGGAGGAAGAGATTCCCTCTGCCCTCCTAGGCTCTTCTTTCTGGTCTGGGAATTAAACTGACATGAAACAGATTAACAGGAGAAAATCCAGCAAATTCTAGTAACATGTGGACCCGGGAGAGACCCAGACAACCTGAGTACCTTGTTCAGACGGCCGAAGCCCTCACCTTGGATACCGTCCTCGCCCAAAGCAGAACAGGATGTTGAGGATGGGCAGAGTCGGTTGTGAGAGGTGACCAGGGAAGGCCCGGTAAACAAGCGCAAGGTTCTTCAAGTCCTTACCTTCTCCGCCCCTAGGAGCTGCTAGAGATTCGGTCATCCTCGTGTGCTGGTACAGCGAGCGGGACGCCCTTGCATAGGGACATTCCCCTGGTAAATGTCCCTGTCTCTTACAAAACGGTGACTCCTACTTGGTTTTCAAAATTTCTTCTACGCCTGCTGTTTCCCGGAAAATAACCAGCTTAAAACTATTAATATGCCAAAGAGACCTATTCTGGGATGGTACCTGCTCCCCTACAGCACCAACAGTGGAGGACAGCAAGGAAGCATGTCTGCCCGAGCCCTGGCCGTAGGAAAGTGTGCCCTGAAGCTGTGACCGCAGCACTCCCCCAAAGCCAGGAAGCAACATAAAAAGGAACCCCAGGCTGCTCAGGGTGCTAGACTACAACCTCTGCGGGGGGACGCAGCGAAGACGGCTCAGGATTCTTACAATCAAAGTCCACAGATAGAGGCCCACAGCTGCGACCTCCGAGACACCTAAGGAAATACCCACCAGGAGGGTCGGCATCCGTAACAAGTAGGAATTCTCAAGCAGCCGCCATAAAGAGCATCATTTGATCATTTTTAACAAAGGCAGAGGCAAAATGTGGGGAAACTGCATTATCAGGAGGCCAAGAGTTGAACAAGAATCACCCTGAATGTCTACAATCCTTTTTTAAGTATTTAAAATGAAAAGTAATAACAATGTAGGGGAGGAAAAACAAACCCACCTTGGTTCATTGGCTGGGGCCCTGAAAATCAGGCTGACGAGAGACTGATTAAGGAGAGAAAAACAGAGGCTTCTGAACAGGTGCATCTCGCATCCACGCAGGAGAGCGCAGTGGTGGCGGCCCCACGGGGTGGTGGGACTCGGGCTCACAGAGCATCTTAACCAAAGAACAACGAAGGCTGCAGGGAAGTGACAAGACAAGGGAGGGGGCCTTGCACTTCTGGGAGGGGGAAACTGATGCAGGGTGTGGGCTGTGAGCAAGGGGTGTTACCTCGATTCCCTGCGGGCCTCCTCTGGGTGATTAAGGATCACCCCACCCTTCCTGGTGGAGAGGGGAAGGTAGAGCTTTTCTTTGTGTCTGTTACTTTTCAGTTGTCTTCAGCTCAAAATCATCCTTACGTCAAAGTGGCATCTTTTGGGGTGGCATATTCTGACCCCCCCTTCGGTGCTCAGTAGAAAATTTAGAAAATACACAAAACTACCTTAAAAAAAGAGAGAAAAATCCTGTCACCCAGAGATATTCGCTATTACAGCGTTACTTCCTGCCCGTAATTTAATCTGTATATTCTTATATTTTAATCCATATACTCCTATATTTTACACCTTTCTGAGATCATATTTATGTAGTTTTGCATGTTATTTTTCACGTAGTATAGCTACCTGTCTTCTTAAGCAGTGAAGACTGACCATACTCGTAGCTTTTCCGGGTGATTCAAGGATCATCATCACTATGGAAACCAGTAGTGTGACCCGCTGCTCAGGGTGGGATCACATGTGTGCTGGCTCCCGTCAAGCTGGACCCTCCGTCCACTCTCCCTTTTCTAATGACGTGCTTTTTAATAAGCCTTCTAAACAATTAACTAGATAATTAAGCACATTTGAATTGTGACTAAAATAGGGTAAGTGGGATGAGAAGCCGGCCTCCCCCGAAGGCTCAGGAAGGCAAAGCTGCTTTGGGCCTAATTTCTGGTCCACAGCTGCCACCACAGGGCCAAGGTCAGTGCCTGAGGCTGGAAACTCCAGACCACCAACCCATCACAGGATTTCTCCGAAGCAGCCTTGCTTCCCTGAATTATTAGAGTTGTATGAAAATGGAGAAATCCTTTTCCAGATTAGGGGCAGGGGTGCTTTCAAACACATGTAGACATCTAACTCTGAGCTGTTATTTTCAAAATACAAAATCAGTTTCCCTAGAAGAAACCACAATAAATGGATTGAAGACTGTTCAACAAATCCACAGATATTTGCCAAAATATCTGTGCTCAAAGCTCAAAAACTGAAACAACCATGGTGGTTCTTTCCAGTCTGTATAACCCGTGAGCACTTGACACGCGGAGGACAAGGCAGGAGAGTCAGCCTGGACCGATCCCGGAAACTGCAAACAGCAGACCTCCAGACTCCTGAACCGGAGATGATAAACCCCTATTTGTTTAGACCATTCTGAGTCTATTGTTACTTGTGCTGAAAGCATTCCAGAAACAGTCTTTGCACTCCAGAAACTCAAAGTCCAGTGATTAGTTACAGAAGATTAGTTGGTGATTATAGTATGGCTGACAAATTCTACGGCAGAGGTCTCCAAGGGCTCTGGGGTCACAGAGGAGGGACATCTAGATCAGAGCAGGTCAGGGGATGCTC